CTCAGTCAGCTGGGCGTGCAACTTCGGCTCAGGTCATGATCTTGAGGTTCATGGGTTCGAGCCCCACCTCAGGCTCTGTGCTGACAGCTCAGAGCCTGGGGCTGCTTGGGAGTCTGTGTGTGTGTTTCTCTCTCTGCCCCTCCCCTTCCTGTGCTCTGTCTCTCTGTTTCAAAAACAAATAAACATTTTTAAAAAATATGCTCGGTTCTGTGATGTCCTGCAGTCCGTCCTGATATGTGTGTGACGCGGGTACAGCAGACATTGGCCCTCTGGGTCACCGTGTCGCGCTCTGCACCGTGTCCCAGGCCAAGGGGACACAGCTGCTCCCTCGCCCTCCTCTTTGCCCAGAGGACTCCTGTGTCTCCCGCCCCGCTGGCCCCAAGCCCCCGCTCACCATGCACACACGGCCCGGGGTCGGTCAGGGTGAGGAGGCGGCGGGCATGGGCCGCCCCCCCCCGGAGGGGGTCTCACTGGCTACAGTCCTCGCTGAGAGAGACTAGGAAGGGGGAGGACACATGGGAGCAGACTCAGGGGGGCCTTCCACCTGCTTCATTTGCCTAATTTTTCCTCATCTCCATCCGGGGGGGCTGGAGACCTCAAATTGAAACCATGGCCTGAGCTGGAGGCGCTTCCATCTCTCCTGACTTTGCGGCTTCTTAACGACAGGCCATCCTGTCACTTAATGTAAACACTGGACAGAAATCCCAAAATTTAATGTATTTGCACGACTTTAAATTCAGTAAAAAGCAGAACATTTAATCGTATTGTGGGAAACAACTTTTTTACTTTAATGTGTATTTTTGAGAGCTACAGAGAAGAGACAAAGGCAGAGCACAAGCCGGGGGAGGGGCAGAGAGAGGGAGACACAGAATCCGAAGCAGCTCCAGGCTCTGAGCTGTCGGCACAGAGCCGGACGCGGGGCTCAAACCCACAAACCGTGATGCTTGAAGTAAGATGCTTGACCGACTGAGCACACAGGCGCCCCGGGAAACGACTTTTAACTGCAATAGTATTTATTCTAAACACAATTCAAGGATGACAACAACATATATTTCTGACCCCTGCCAATCTGTACGGGTGGGTTTTTATGAGCCGAGACCTCCGTGGGAGCGAGGGGCCGCGGGGGCGGTAAGAGTTCACGGGCACAGAAGTGCACGGACGGCACGGGCGCACTCTGATCTGCACACTGGTGCTGCGGCCGTGTAGAGTCCCCAGACCTCGCCACCCACACGCCGCTCGGTAACGGAACCCGCTTCTGCACGCAGCCCACTCCTGATGGTGCTAATGAGCAGTGAAAGGACCCGGTGCTGAGCAGCGGGAGGTGAGAGATAGGGCCTGGCTAATTGACAAAATGGGTAATTGCTTCCTGAATAATTGAGGGGCGTCTCTGGGGGAGGGAGCTCAGGGCTCTGCTTGTGTCCAGTCAGGGCGGAGCTGTACCCCAGGGAGGCTATGACCCCGTCCTTCCCAGCCTGGCCCCGCTGGAGGGCGCAGGTCACCGGTGTGTGGGGCGCGGGGTGGCCGGCAGGGAGCCCTCGCAGGGCCCGACCCCCTCGCCCCTCCCTGGGGTTCACTGCCGTGGCCTGAGGAGCAGTCTCTAAGGGCTGGACGGACTATAACGAATGTGTGAGGTTTTGATGTCGTTAATACCCTACGATGTTCATGAGGCTCAGCCTGAAGAAAGTGTGCGCTTCGTGGGGTGGGGGCGACCGAGGGAAAACTCAAGTCATAACGCAGCCTGATTCCGAGGGTGAAGTTCCCGTGTGATGAAGGAGTTCCCTCTCCCTTCAGCAAATCAGTGTGATAGCTTTCGTTGGTCCCAAAGTAAATGTCTTACGTCTGAGAGTTTTCTTTAAGAATAAAACCATTTAAAATTCCCAAGAAAAGGCTCTCCTTATCTTAAAAATGAGCGCCCGACTTAAAACAAAAGCGTTCGTGCTGAGGTTCCGCTTTCCAGTGTGACTTGCTGGCGAGGGCTGGGAGGGCGGCGAGGCAGTGAGAGCGGGGTTACCTGTCGGGGCCCCAGGGAGGGGCAGACCTGGGGTGTAAGGAGGACGTGCTGGACCCCGAGTGGCGCCCCCACTGAGGCCCCGGAAGGCCAGGCGCAGAGGCACTAGAGGAACCGACTGGGACGCAAGGTCCCCCTTTGGGGACAGGGTCTGTCCTAGGCTGCGGCCAGTGGCTTCTACAGGGGGTTTTCCCGTCAGAGGCTGCAGAGCCTGACCGTCTGGAACGAGGGTGAGCGGCCCGCGTACTCCTGGAGGGGATGGGGCAGCCCGTGCCCCGCGAAGGAGGCCCCGCAAACCCCGCAAACCCCGGAGCCCTGCCCTCCTCGGGTGCCCTGAAGGAGACCCCATGCCTGCAGACCCCAGGGTCTTTGCACATCCCCTTCACTCTGCCTGGGACACAAGCACCCCGCCCACTTTTAACCTGAACCCAGCAACTAATCTTTAAAACTCAGGTCAAATCCCACTCCTCCCCAAAGAGCTCCCACCCCTCCAGAATGGGTGGGATGCAGCGTGTCCAGACTTCTCGTGCCCCAGTGAGAATGGCTGTCAGCTTGTCTGCTCTGGGGGAAAGTCAGTGCTCAGTTTTGAATCCCTTAAAGAATAGGATTTCGCCCCATTCTTACTGCACCCCCAGTCCTACGACAGGTGCGCAAGGTGGCAGGAAACAGAGCCGTGACCTGGTGTGCTCTCCTTCACCTTCCGGAGCGTGAGCACACCAGTGCTCCGTGTACATGGGCCCCGCCTGCTTTGCTAACGTTCTACGGGGCTGGGCGCAGCGTGCAGGCGCTCGGAGGTCTCCCGCCTGTGCCCGGGCTGTGGTGCCCGACGAAGGGCGGGAAGGTGGGCACACAGACGCCTGCATCATACTGATTTTTCTTGAAACACTCCTCACATCCATCTTCTTCCTGCATCTCTCTTCCCCCGACAAGCGCATTCCTGGTGGGGGCCACCCCATGGTGGGGGCTGGCGCCACAGGGCTCCTTCTCTGAGCACCACCCATCTCTGCTGACACACCCCTCCCTGCTCCCACCACACGCTCTCACCCCTGCTAGATTAATTTTTGTGCAATACGCTCCTGAGACAACCCTCAAGGACAGGCAACAGCTGTCCACCCAGTGCGGCAGCAGGGACCCCTCTGGGTCTGCCAGACCCTGGACTCGCCCCCCACTCCCCGCGGCCAAGGCCCCCAGCCCCGTGGGGCACCGTGACCCGGCTGGGCCACCCGCGTGACGGCCAGCTTCCCAGAAACACACCCACTCACTCGTCACTCTTTCACCCACGACTGGGTTTCTAGTGTGTCCATACAAGCGTAAAACACGATCTGTTTCTTGCTTCGACACTCATTCAGGCAGCTCTTAAGTCGAGAAGATTTCCCCACGAGGCCTCTTCTCGGTGACCCGCCTCACGCCGGCTGCGCGCTTTCTCAAATCCGTATTTTATGGAGTCTGGCACAACCCTACATCTGCACACACACACCTTCTGCTCATTAAATGAGCTATGTTTTTATTATCTGTGTGTTCCATTTGCTGCCGTCCTCTGCGCACTGATGGTCTGGCGGCCGGTCGACAGAGCGTGACTCGGGAGCGTGGTGTCACGCCGCCTAGCGTTGCATCCGCGGAGAGAGCCACGGCTCGCCAGCAGCTGCCGGCAACGGCGGGTCTGCCCTGCTCTCCCGGTGGGAGTCGGACGGGGCGCGTGGCCCTGCAGCCCTCTGCCCCACTGGGGCCTTCTGGTCCTAAACCGCGGGGAAAGTGAACTGCGAATGGGGGACACTTTGAGCCCCAGTCTTCTGCCCCAGGTGCTTGGGTGGGCCAGGGCATCACAGGTGAGGCTGAAATGCGCTGTCCTCATGATCAGAGGGGCCACTCTCCTCACCGCTCTCCTCCCATCTGTTCTGCTGAGAGACTCTCTTACTGTGCGGCTGGGCCCTGTGTAGATTGTCCAGACTCACGGAAATACTGGGGGCAGAGCACACTAGTGCACGTCCACCCAGCCAGCCCTGGTCCCTTGGCTGAAAACTGATGTGTGGGGGCACCCGGGGGCTCAGTCGGTTAAGCATCCAGCTTCAGCTCAGGGCATGATCTCGCGGTTCGTGGGCTCGAGCCCCGTGTCGGGCTCTGTGCTGACAGCTCAGAGCCTGGAGCTGCTTCGGATTCTGTGTCTCCCTCTCTCTCTGCTCCTTCCCAGTTTGTGTTCTCTCTCTCTCTCTCTCTCTCTCTCTCTCAAAAATAAATGAATAAACATAAAAAAACAAAAAAAGATACTGTGTAGAGACAGGTGGCGTGGATTCAGGGCCCTGAGCCAAAACTTGTAGTTAGATGGTCTCAGGCAAGTCCCATCTATAAAATAGATGTAAAGACACGTTTCTTAGAAAATTGTGAGAAGCAGACACGGTAATACATGAAAATGGTCTGTAATCCCTGACCTGTGAAACGGGCTGGTTACTATGAGCAAAGGGCCTTGTCCCTGGAAAGCATCCTAATGATTTAGATCAGTGTGGACAGTGATTACACCCAGAACTAGATGACATGGCATCAGCCCCCACCTTAGACATGTCCGGCCGCACCTGCCTGCTCCCGTCTTACCTGTGTGATCAGATTAAACTCGGGGTTCCGAGGAGTTTCCAGAATACACGTATGAACCTTCCTGCAAACGTAATGGCTCTCAGGTTCTGGGTACAAAGTGTAGCTTGGAATTAACCCTCAGGTGTCCAGATCAGTCTTTGAGAAGGGTAAGCAGGCTGCACCTGAAGCACCATCAAAGCCCGGCCATTTCAGAGGGTGGGCCTCCCGGTCAAGCGCTCCCTGCAAGGTCACGGTCTGCTTTGTTAAGTAACACAGTTAGATTGCCTGATGCTTGCCCTCCATGTCGCTCTCCCGGAGGGGTGCCCCCCATGTCGCTCTCCCGGAGGGGTGCCCAGAGCCACTAAAATGCCCGTGGTCAGCCGCACACACTGCTGACCGAGCTGACCGCCTGCTCGTCTATCCGCAGATGGAGGTGGACGCCGAGGAGAAGCGTCATCGTACACGGTCCAAAGGGGTTCGAGGTACGTCCGTGCTTCCCCAAGCCCCTGGAGGCCCCACTCAGGGTCCCTTCACCTGCGGACCCCTGCCTGACACCACCCTCTTGGTAGCTTTCTGTGGGAGAGGGGACCCAGGACAAACGTAACTGTCTATCTGCTTCCCTCTCTCTGCAGTTCCCGTGGAGCCGGCCATCCAGGAGCTCTTCAGGTCAGTGCTCGTCAGGTCACTAGCGACTTAGAAACCCATGCCTTTTAGCGGGCAGACTGTCCCCGGGTTCGCAGCGGCTCCCCTCCCCCGGCCTGTCGGCAGCCCCTGCCCTGCTGCCGTCACTGAGGCTACGTACGCCCCTCAGACTTGCTGACTGAAAGCACCCCTCATTGTTCCCCTCCTTCCAAAGTCTGCCCTCTGTGTGTGTATGCTACCCCCCCCCCCGCCACCGAAGCTTCGGTCTCACCCGCCTGCGGTGTGGCCCCCATGTAATTACCTTGTTCCCGTTGCAGCTGTCCCACACCCGGCTGTGATGGCAGCGGTCACGTCAGTGGCAAATATGCAAGACACAGAAGGTAACGGCTGCCTTTTTCACTATGTATGGTCTACAGCGGCTTGTTCAGGGTCCCAGGCCCAAGGACGAAAATGAGTGGGGGGTGTTCTTGGAAAACAGCGAGTGTTGTCTGCTCCTCCTCTCCTCTGATGTGAATTCCGCCTTTGGTTTCCCGGGCAGGGTCTCAGAGGGTGGGCAGAATTTACGATAAAACATAAGATGACACAAATTAAGACCAACCTTAAACTCATTTTCCCACACGCGCATGGCAGCCCGCTAAGAGCCTGTCTCTGCTTCACTGAGGCGGCTTATTGTCCTTGCCTGCTTGCTCATTCTGGTAGCTGCAGGGAAGTAAGTCACGGGCAGTAAATTAAAGTATGACCTTCCTGATCTTTCTGCAGGAACTGAGCTTCCATAATTTAACTATCTGTCCCGGGAAAGGAAGCCCAGGCAGGCACCTGGGCAGCTGCTGGGGGAGGTTCCGGCAGGAGATAAACGTCCAGGACAGATCACACTAATGAGACTTTGAGGCTTAGATGATTAGATCATTCTTGTAAATGCTGGGGTTCAAGTCCATGACGGCACTGGGCGCGAACATCCAGGAGATCAGGTGGCTGGATAATTACTGCTAAAAACGCATCACAGCAGAATTGTGCTGTGTATCTATCAGGGCTGAGTGTCATGAGAAGATGAATCTTTGGATTTACTTTTCTGTGAGGAACTCCTTCCCTGTGATACCAATGCGGCTTTGCCTTTCAATGGAAGGCTTCAGCTGTGAGGAGTTGGAGGTGTTTACAGGCTATAATAAATTTTTAGCTAATTCTTCACAAATTAGGTTGCGAGGACTAAGGCCATTCATCCTAACAAATCATCAAGAAGGAAGCCTGCGTAATGAAAGCTCAGACCCTCGACAGGTGTGTCTGTAAACACCTTGAGGTGACCTGCCTTCATTGCCTTGCGTTTCATTTCCTTTTCAGCTGAACATTAATTTATGGGTGAAATCAAGCAATTATTTTGATTGTCCTTCAGTAAAATCATGGGAAGAATTACAAAGTATTCCCCAAATCCCCATGCTAGCATTAAAGAAGAAGGGGAGTTTTTAATGAGCATCCATGATGAAATGGTTATTGGGCTTCTCTACGTACCAAAGGAACGACAGGCCGTTTTTAAGGGAATTTGGTGATTTGAAACCTAAATTCAATTTATCTTATTATTGTTATTGTATATTATAGTAAATTACTGAGTATGTAAGTTAAATAATTAGTTTATTTAAAGTATATTATTTTATAAAGGGGCATATATGTAAATTCTTAATCTAAAAGTTTTTAAAACAACATGGTTTACGTTTTCGACGAAAACCAAGTTAGCAAGCCATGAGCAAAATCAAGGTTTTCCCTCATTCCTCTCTTGATTAGTCAATAGTTAAAATTCATCATACTGTTACCAGAAGTAATGATTACATTTGGCTAAAAAGTTTGAATTCGGTGTCAGCTAGACTTATAATTCATCACCACAGTTTTTCAGGAGAAAGCATGAAGTTTCCAAAGAGTCCTTTGAAACACATTCTCAGCTAGGTTGCACCCAGTCGTGTCCCCGTGTGCCCACGTGACATGCACGTGCACACCTGCCTATGAGGTCTCTTTCCCGGCCTGCACAGAACCATGCGGCTTGGCGTGGGGTGGCCTCAGGACCGCCACGTTTCATTTTCCTTTGGGACACGATGCTGGTGTGAGCACAGAACACATGAATCTTCAGGAGTGAAGGGCTGGCACTTTAGAGAAGGGTCACAGAAACATCCAATTTAGGCAATTTTTCAACCCATTTTTAATTGAATTTAAAACAATGTCATAATCTACATAATTATTAGAATTTCTAATATTTTCAGAGATAGTTAACGTGGTGGCCGTGGACAAAGAACCTTTCCCCAGCATGAGACACAGGCTCTAGTTTCTCCGGCGCAGCTAGAAAGCAGGGGACTTTGGACAAATTATTTAACATTTACAGACTTTGATTTCCTCAATATTAGAATGAGATACTTTGTTACATAAAACTAATTACCATTGAAAACTCATGTGACCAGATAAGCCACTTCTTAAGAAGACTGTCAGCACTGTATTGATGAAGCTGACTTATATTTTTGATGTCTATATTATTCAATAATTTTCTATTGAGTATAGTAGACACACAGAGTTACATCAACGTCAGGTGTGCAGCGCGGTAAGCTGGCGACTCTACAGGCCACGCTGTCCCCGTACGACACTGTTCCCAGTATCGCCCTTCATCCCCGTGACTCAGCACCCCCGTAGCCGGAGGCCTGTGTCCCCCCTCCCCTTCCCCCGTGTTCCTCACTCCCCACCCCCGCCCCCCTGGAAGCCACCAGTTCTTCCTCCTGTGTGGAGGTCTGAGTCTGCTTTCCGTCTGCTCATTCATTTGCTTTGTGTTCTAGATTCCACATGTGATATTTGCCTTTTGTCTGACTCACTTTACTTAGCATAATACCTTCTTGTTTATGGCTGAATGATATTCATACGTATATACCACGTGGTCGTTCTCTGCTCACCCGCCCACGGCACCTGGGCTGCCTTCCATATCTTGGTGATTATAGCTAATGCTGCATAAACAGGGATGCGTGTGTCTTTTCAAATTAGTGTTTTCGTTTCTTAGGGTAAATATCCAGTAGTGGAATTACTGGATCATATAGTAGTTCTATTTTCAGTTTTTTGAGGACCCTCCACACTTCTCCAGAGCGGCTGTACCCGTGTGCACTCCCACCAACTTTTTTCCCCGCCTCCTCGCCAACACTTGTTTCTTGCGTTGTTGATTTTAGCCATTTCTGACAGATGTGAGGTCATATCTCATTGTAGTTTTTGATTTGCATTTCCCTGATGATTATATATTACCAATAATTTTTAACTAAGGGATGACACTTGAATTTTTTAAACTGAAAAGGTGCTTCTTGTAGTAGATAAGACTCAAGTAAACATTAACATCTTGTGGCTGGTGCTATTTCAAATCTGTAACATTTCAATTATTTTGGCTTCAAATATTCCCTGCTCCACAAGTCTCTCCCCTCTGACAGCTATTTATGTACATAAGTGCCTGTACCAACCCCATGGCACAGGTGTGGCCTCGACCTCTGCTGGTCCATCCCTGCTGAGACCCAGCCTCTGTGTGACAAGAGTGGTAACCTGGGTCTCAGTTTTGATGAAATTACCCACCGTTTGGTATTTTAGCAACACAAGATTCAGGGAATGTGTTTTCATTTTATTAGGGATGTAATTTCACTTTACTTATATATTGTGTCAATTCACCGTCAAGGAAAGTGGTACTTTAGTAGGTGGACAGATCTGTTTATTTGAACATGTGGAAAGTAATTTGAGGCAGGTGTGGGGAATCTAGACTGTGAGGTTTTTTTTAACTTTAGGACATTTGATCCCAAGTGATGAAATGATGCCTACCAGGTAGTCTTTATTTTTAGCATAAAAATAAGGAAATCAAAATCAAGCGAGTTTTCCAAATTCCATACTCTCACTTTGCAGGGCACATGCTATGCTGATCCCCCGTGGTCACCTGCCTCGGTGCTGTGTGCGAATTCTGCGGTAGCTGCTGAAATCAATGGTTTATTTAGTGATGTTGTTGCACTGTGGTAGAGGCAGGCTTGCGGGTCTGTAGGAGATCAGGACTAGAGCCCAGGGGAGAGCCAACCACCAGATAATACCTGTGAAAGGAAACATTAATTTGAGAAAGGAATTTGCAATTTGAGAACCTGGTGAAAAATTGGGGGGTGGAGCTAAAGTTACAGTACTTATTTTAGTGTATGGTCTACCTTACTTCAAAAACTGTGTGCTTGAACAAAAGATCATCTGTTTGGGGGTATTTTTTTAATTTTATTTTAAGTTTATTTATTTTTAGGGTAGGGGGAGGGAGAGAGAGACTCCCAGGCTGGCTCCATGCTATCAGCGCAGAGCCTGAGATGGGACTCGATCTCATGAACTGTGAGATCATGACCTGAGCCAAAGCAGACGCTCAACTGCCCAGGTGCCTCCACAGGCATTTTTTTGTGTTCATGGGTCATAAACAGGCTGAAGTAGGTGATAAACACGTGTACAACTACGCAATTAAAAGTTGACTCAAACATGTAAATTAGGAAGAACATAAGGGAAACAGGAACCTACTTTTACCAGAAACACAGGGTTTATCAGGGGTTTGAACAGAGTACTACATTTTGTTCCAAGTCTTTTGGCAGCCAAAGCAAAAATGGGAAAAATGAGTAATAGCGTTCCACTATCCGGGGCAAGTGGTACATCGGTCCCTCAGCACCGAAGATGAACACAATTGAATTGACACCTACTGACCAGCAAGGATCCAAGCTCAGTCAACACTCTGTGCCCTGGAAGATGAATCAGGACTAGCCTCTCATGAAGCTGATCAATATAACAAACGCTTATCTTCAGAAGCACCATTCGTTTCTGGACACGTGGATGTGACTTCTGTTCTTCCCACCTGAGGTTTGCGTTACCATAAAAGTGTGACAGAACAGCACAGACTTTGCAGTCAGGGCCAGAAACAATTCTCCTGTTATGACCCAGACTCCTAACACCATCTCTTCCATATGCAGTGAGCCTGACCTCTTCCGTCGGACTCACTGTCACACAGCCTCACCGTGGCCCCGTGAATTCTGCCTCCCTGAGCGCAAACGACTTTTCTTAGCGATACTTACAGGTAGATAGAGACCTTTGTGTGCCTCAAACATGGGTCCAAGTACAGGCTTCTTTGTAGACGGGAAAACTCACTCCTTTTTTTTTATGTTTATTCATTTTTGAGAAAGACAGAGTGTGAGCAGGGGAGGGGCAGAGAGAGAGGGAGATACAGAATCCAAAGCAGCTCCAGGCTTCGAGCTGTCAACACAGAGCCCGACGCGGGGCTCGAAACCACAAACCACAAGATCATGACCTGAGCCGAAGTCAGACGCTTAACCAACTGAGCCACTCAGGCGCCCCAAAACTCACTGTTAGTCATCTG